CCTTATATTATACTTCCACAAGGTGTTGAAAGTCTCTTTGAGGTTTTTCAAGTGCTCGATCAAGCTCTTGCTCTTAACTATCATGTTGTCCACATATACTTCCATGTTGTAGTCGATTTGATTTTTAAACTCCTTGTTTACCAGCCTTTAATAAGTCATCCATGCATTCTTTAATTCAGAAAGCATTACCTTATAATAGTAAAAGCTTTTCTCAGTCATAAAGGTTGTATTTTCCTTATTGTCCTTTAACATTTTGATTGAGTTTCAATTATAATAGGCTTCCATAAAACTAAGAAGGCCATGCTAAGCACTATCATCCACCAGCTAATCTATGCTAGGAAAAGAAAAGCTATCTTTCAGGTAGGCTTTGTTAAAATCAGTAAAGTAAACTTACATCCTCTATTTTTTACTATACGTTTTTACCATGACCACGTTGGCTATCCATTCAGGATAGCAGACATCCCTAATAAAGTTTGCTCGTAATAATTTGTTGACTTCTTTCTCGATAGCTTGTTGTCTTTTTAAGGTAAAGATTCTCTTTTTTTACCAAATTGATTTTAATTTAAGATTAGTGTGTAACTTATAAACGATTACCTCGGTATCAATCCTAGGCTTATTAGATGGTATCCAGGTAAACAGGTCGATATTATCTTTCGGGAGTTGAATTAATTGATCCTTATATTGAAGTTTAGTTTCGATCTGCATATATTTTTTGGGGATGCCCTCTCAGAATAAGACTGTTACAAGATCATTGGCTAACTCAAGTCTATTTTGTTTGAATTCAACTTTGATCAATTATCTTTTTTTGTTCAATTAGGTTAGGACCATTTTATGTGAAAACAGATCTTGACGTGATGATTAGTATATTATAGATAACTTGTTAAATATGTATGTAGTGAAATTGCTATGTATTTTTCATTTCATAATGTATTTTGGCCACATATTAGCTCAGTCCAAATAAACATGCGATCATTTACGATGGCTTAAAAGCTCAGTCATCTTTGAAGTTACCTTAAAAAATTAAAAAATTAAAACAAAAAGTTTTTTTTTGTTAAAGCTTAAGAGCTTGAAGCAACTTAAGAGTGTGTTTTTGTCAAGTTGGTCTTATGTTCTATTTTTTTGCTTATGGCTTCTTATTTCTTATTTGGCTTTCGTTGTTTGCCCCTCATCAATGCATGCATTATTGGTTAAACTGTCAATTTGTTTCCTAATCTTTCCTTTCATTGTTGTAACATATCATTGACATGCCATGGACTAGTCTCCCTTAACCTCTCTAATCCCATTATGCATTGGAACTTTTACTTTCAGATGGGAAGCTAAACTTATAAGCCACATAATAGACTAGCTAGGTTAGCGTAATATCATATTGTAGGCCAATGAGATGTCCACCATTATAAATTATATTACCAAGGTGATTGTCCTGGGTTTTGTCCCTAAAGAGATTGGTAGTTTGATTTCTCCTTTCACAGGTACCTATTTATTCTCGAATCCCATCAATGTTATGGTGATCAGCTGTAATTGATTTTCACCAATTCTCATCTTTTTTATGGTGCCGTAGTACATGATGTCGGTTGAGCTCCCATTGTCAAGCAGGATTCTCTTGACTTATAATTGTATACTATGGTCGTGATCACTATAGCATTATCATGAGGGTGCTGGATTCCTTTAAGGTCTTTCAAGTTGAATGAGATCGATTCATCTTTGTAATCTTTTTCTATCTTTGCCATGGTGCCCATTACCATGATTATGCCTGGGTTGGACTTCTTTTGGTTAAGGTAGAGCTACTTTTAGTGATCACATTAATCATTTCGATGATCAGCCTGTCATTATCAATTTGACATTTTTCTTAACTCGCCTCATCTTCTTAGTATTTTCTTTTTCTTTTTTTTGGTTTTTTTTTCTCTACCTCGAATGGGCTCTGTTCGATATTGTCTATAATCTGTTATGGGCTAGCCTTGTCATTGCTGCTCCATAAACCTTCTCAGCTGACCACTCATTATCAAAGCTTCAATTTCATTTTTCAAGTTAACGCAATCTTCAATATTATGGCCTATATCCTTATGAAAAGCATATTTTTTGGTCAAATCCTTTTTTTTATTCTATCTTAGTGGCTTTAGCCATCTGAGGTCAAATTTTTTTTCAATTTGCATTAGAATCCTCTATCAAAAGGTATTCAGTGTAATGTAGCTTCTTTCTCTATTAAGCTTCTAGCCCTACGTTGTCTCCATTTTAAGGAAGGATCATAGAAATCTTTGCTTTTTTTATAACTGATGAGGGGGGATGAACCTGTCTCACCTCAGTTAGTTTTCATTGTAGTTTTGGTACTTATGTATTTTTCGGTTATCAATAAGACATCGGCCAGAGTTCTAGGTGGTTCTAGTGACAAAGTTAACTTTAGGTAGTACTATTTGTCGTTTAGTCCACTTGTTAAAGCAGCCACAATGGCCATTTGCTTTAGGTTTGCTCCAAGTCTTTAACTTTTAGAGCTTTCACGTTAAAACACATAACATAGCTCTTTAGAGATTCATTTTGACCTTGTTGGATTGATATCAAGCTCAAAGTTATCTTCTTCACTCTTCGACTACTGACAAATCGAGATAAAAAAGAGTGGCTGAGCTCGTTGAATATGGTGATTGACTTTAATTCCAAGTTGTTGTACCATAACTAAGCTATGCCCTTCAATATGTTAGCCAGGCCTTTGCACATTAGAGCTTCATCTATGCCTTGCATCATCATGTTAGTCCTATAAAGTTTTAAATGATTGAAAGGGTCAAAAGTACCACCATATGTTTCCTAAGTAGGCATTTTAAATCCTTTGGGAGGCATGGCACTGTCAATTTCTTCAATAAAGGACAAGGTCTCAAATAACTTGAGCTCATCCTCAAAGGCTACTAATTTTATTTTTAGCTCTTTTTTCATGGCTTGCATTTGAGTTTCTAAATCTCTATTAGATTGGGGTTCGAGGTTTGTTTGTTTGGATTTTTGGGTCATAGCATATGCTAAGTTATGGTTGGGGTTGGTGGACTGGGGTGGCGTGCTTCTCTTTTTTGAAGGCCGATAAAGTTTCCACCTCTTCATAGCTCAATTGTTTAACAATGGCTCATTGGCCAAGGGTAATTAGGCTAGGCACTTTTAAAGCTTATGGTGGGGTTGTGGTTTGTAACATCTGCTTGAGAGCTTGTATCTGTTTGGTCAAGGCTTAAAATTTTTTCATGGTCGGTTTTGCCTACAGTTGGATAGGTCGAACAAAATGTTGGCCGTGATAGGTTTGTATTCTAGCCATGACGATCGTCTCTTCTTCCTCTAAGGTTCTCTTCCTTGGTGGCATTACTTTGTGCTTGACTAATGAATGGAAAAAGGCCTTCTACCTGACGCGCCAAATGTTTTGTCAAGCTTTAACCTCAGGATGTTCCTGGAAAAGTAGAAGAGAAGGGCAGTAAGAGGCAAAGGCAGGGTGTGTTCCCTGCATTTGCACTTTAACATGCAAGTCATACAGAATGAGGTCAGGAAAAAAAGTAAGAAAGAGGAAATAAGTCTAGAATCAACTTACTTTAGTGGTGCCAGGACCTTCATATTTATAGGTGAGCAATACGGGATTATTAAGGGACAATAAGGATAATGTCGAGCTGATGTAGTATCGGGTATGTCAGACCGACCTAACATGTTAGGTTGGTACAATGACAAAAATACCCTTAGTTGTCTACTGAATACTTTTAAGAGGGAAAAAAAATTACTATGCTCTTTTGACTACTAAATGTCCCTAACAATATTGTATGATAAGTTCATTGTCCTTACGTAGGCATTGTATTAAAGTGATGATAAAATGAATCTCACACCAATTACATTAAGAACATCTTAGGTATATAAATATAATAAAAATCTTTATTTATTATCAATTGATTTTTATTAGATGTTTATTTAAAATTTAATAATCAATTTTAACTTATATAATTTTTTGTGTAAATTGAAAGGAAAAATTATATTATGCACTCGTAAATCATGTAAAAATTCACTTTATAGCCAGGATTTTCTTGCTTTGAATGAATTAAATGCTTTTATACAAAAAAAAAAAGGCAAAAAAGCTTAATTACCATTAATATCTATGTATACTCGTCTACATCATAATTAGAAATTTGCTCACTTGTTACTGTAGTAGAAAATATTTTATTAAATAAATAATTCTTTAAAATTTTGAATATTATTTTTTATGCTTTAAAATATATTTATATCAATCTAATCGAATTTTATTAATAATCATAGTTTTCATTTTAAAAGACAATATATCAAGCACGTAATATTAAAAAATCAAATAATAACTGCTGGAGTACATAAAATGAAAACCTATCCAAGATAATTCATGCAGCAACTCTTGAATATATAATTACAATTATTTAAATTCTATTAACATTTACTTTTTAGCGTAAAAATTATTTGTGCTTATTTTACAACTTTATAAATTTGTCACAATAAATATTGATAAATTATCAAAAATATTAATAATGAAAATTTTTAAATTTTACAAATAGAGTTGCGAAAATGACAAATACCCCTTATAATATATTTGAAAAATATAAAAATTAATTAAAAGTAAAAATAAGACATTTATCATTCCTAAATATTTATTATTTATTTTACCTTTCATAACTCCCTTAAAAACCTTTTTTTTTTTTTTTCTCTCTCTCAAATTGTAAGACAAAAATATCGTAGAATAAAATAAAATTATAAAATGTCAAAAATGTCTTCTTACCTTTTTCCTCCACGGTTCCTTAAGTTTCTTTTTTATCTCTTGCGTAAGTATAACAACCGAATTTAAATGGACACTAATTAATAATTAAGAAGTTGAACGCATGTAAAATACACAAAACTATTTTATGGAGGGTAACATTGTCTCATCCAAGAACAGCAATGGGATAGTTTTCAACAATGGACGAGAATTTGTCAAAACCGCCGGTCCATTGCGTTTACCAAATTTAATTGCAGAAATAGCCTTTGATGCCCCATTTTCGATGAATCAAACCTAACCAAACTTTTAAGATGGAAAATTATGAAGCCTACCATATTCGCAGAGCAATCCGGTTTTAAGATTATTGCTCTAGACCTGAAGCATTAAACAAAAATTTTGAAGCTTCACTTAAGCTTGAGAAAGTATATGGTACAAGTTTATCTAGCTAAGCTTGTACTGCCTATTGTTTAAATCAGCTCTATTACTTAATACTGAAACACTTAACCAGTAATGGACCTAAAAAAAAAGCCCTTTTTTTTGTGGTGGTGGTGGGGGGGAGATATAAACCAAGTCATGACCCTGAGTTCCAGGCCGAATATCAAAGTCTCAGGCCCATAATCTGCTTCAGGCAACTTCACTGCAGCCAGCCCTCAAAGCGCTTCAAGAAGACAAAGCCACAGGCCCAAACATCCTCCACCTGCCTCTGCCCTACCATAATTCAAAACACCCCTGTTTGCGTTGTTAAGAGGAGATGATAAAATTTTGAATTTGATGGAACCAGTATAATCAGAAAATGCGAGAAATATGGAATGCTATTACAAATAAGAAATATATACAACAAACGAGGCAGATCACTCTAAGTACAGCTTTAATCATCAGCAGCTTCAGTAGCCTTCACAAATCGTCCTTTCACTCGCTTCCTAGTATCAGCTCTTGCCTTCCTCGATTCATAGCGTATGTGTTTATCATATCTATTCATGGGGTGCGACAAATTTTAATAATCAAATCATTTTGATAAACCCGTTATTAGATGATAACAAGGAAACCTGCACTAAGGAAAAAAAGATACCTTCGTGTTTTCTTCTTCTCTTTGTACCGTTGCATGGCATTACCTCTGTTCTGCGCCAGCAACTCGAGATCAGCCTTGCTAGGTGCTGCTAGCCTTGTTTGGTCACACCTCACAAGGAAAGATTGTTCCATTAAGTGAACATTGTTAGAACTGCTAGTGCCCTTGAGTTTGCCAAAAGCTGAACCTGATGATGGCTTTGCTGTTGGTAGGTTGTTGCTCTCAGATGTGGCTGGTCCCAGAATAGCTGCAGGATTACTAGAATTGTTCTGCATTTTCAAGCCCCACAAAAAAGTCTTTTATTTGTTGGCAAAACAAAGCTACCCATAATGCATCTACTGGAGGAGATTGCTAAGTCATATGCGCAACAATTTGCAATCAAATTTCTAATTGTTCTGACCTAATCCTACATATATCAAACAGAGAGAACATGGAACAAATAAACCATCTAAATAACCAATCAAACAGTAAAGTCAATAAAGGTTATTGGTTGAGTTTATGCTGACTTCCTTGTCTCAAATTCAAAGAAAGATCAAAGAAACACTGCGGCTGTGCTATAGATAGATAATACACTTTTCCTCACTAAATGAACAAACAAAAAGCATACTAAAACAATTAAGAAATTTTCTAAAACGGCAGAGATATTAACAAGAAAAGTGAAAACAGTGAAATGGTGAGGAACATACATTGATTGAAGCCATATCGTCTTGTGAAGGAGGGTAGCTGATGCTGTACTTATCTCCGACCAATTTGGCATTAGTCAAAGGCTCACTGAAATTGTTAATCATGAAACCAGCATCACTTCCAACGTATCCAACGTCTTCCAATTGGGCTTGGCTACACTCTTCCTCACCCCTCAACCGCCCTAGCTTAAAATCCCATATCTGTAGCAAATTCTAAACTATTTTAAAACTCTACTGTTACTAAGATTTCTCATAAAATCAAATCAAATCAAAGTACCTGAGGAGTCTGACCATTTGGATTACCATTCCACAACGCATCTCCTCCATCCATAATGCGATCTATCTCTTGCGTTTGCATCCTAAGCAAACAACTAAACGTCGTTTGCGTTTGCTGTTGCTGCTGCGGCTGTATAACTTCTTGTGTACCCAAAAAGCTGCCGTTTGCTTCCACATTTGGCACCAGATTCTCCCCACCTCCACCGCCCACGAAATCTCTCTTCATCAACTCTACAAGCTGCTTGAAAATAACCTGCTTGCACTTCCCACCCCCGTGATTCTGCTTCTTCAACATCTCTCCGCCGCTAAAACTCTCGTACGGTACCATCATCTCTTGCAAGTTCGTTTTGTACACCCACGATTGCACAGACGGCGCCACCAACTCTTCGTAACACCTGTTCCAGCTCCGATCCGACGGTTTCTTCTCGTCGAGATCGAATCCCCAAGCTGAAGCCAGCTCCAAGGCCGACGGACAACCAGAAAACCCTTCCACAGGGGTACGATCGTGTGCGGCCGACGCAGAGCAACTAGCATGCCCGTCCCAATCACACTCTTGACAAAGCACCAAATTATCGGTTGCGCACCGAACCGAAACCGGTTCAGTGCTACAATTATCGCAGATTTGAGAGCGGAGGTGCTTACGGGAAAGTAAGTTCGCAGAGTGCACGCGCTGATCGCAGAATAAACAGAGTTTGGCGGAGTCAGCTCGGCAGTAGAGAACCGCCATTTGCTCATTGCAGAAATCGCACGGCACCGTTTCCCTACTCTCCGGTTTTGGACTAACCATAGTTTCAGGAATTTTGTTAGCAACTTTTTTAGGGTAGATATTTGGTTATCAATTTGAAAATGAAAACCCTCCCGGTGAGGTTGAGCGCGCAGAGCTAAGGATTTAGGGTAGGCGAGGGGAAGGGATGACAAGCAGTGAGCGATACAAACGGGACTTTTTTCAGCTTTTTGATGATTAATTATTTTCTATTTTTGGAGGGTAATGGCTTAATGTAATGGGCACATCACAAGTACGGTCAAGTTGGCAATAATCAACGTTTAACTAATTTGGGTAATTTTGATTTCATTTATCTAAAATTTAATTAATTAATTAATTACATTATTTTATCTTTTTTTATTCATTGAATCAATAATTAACCTGATTTAATTGGCTTAATTCGAATTAACATAATAATAAACTGTATTTAAATTAAATTATATGTTAAAATTTTATATTTCATATTTGAAATAAATTAAAAAAAATCATTTAATTAAATATTCAAATGCTAAAATGTTAAACTAAAAAATTCTAACAATTTATAAATGAAACGATTTATTTTACATATTTTAATTTTATTTTTGATTTTTTATATTTTAATTAACATTTTGATCAATTCAATTTGATAATTTAATGATTTAAATGAAAATTAAAATATTTTTAAAATTATTTTTAATAATCAATTAAAATTAATTTAATAATTAATAAAAATAATTCAATTGATTAATTTAATTAAAATAAAAATATGAACATCCTCCAAGTTGATTTAAGTTTTGCACAGAGAGAGAGAGAGAGAGAGAGAGAGAGAGAGGTAGCTATGATAAAATAAATAAAAATTGCAAAATTTGTTGTAAGCACAACGAAGCAGTAGTAATTCTACGAAGAACTTTTGTCAAGGTTTTTGGATGTAAAGTTTATGGAACAAGTTCTGAAAAGGGGAAGTGACAGGATCGACGGTCCATCAGAAATATTTAGTAGTTGGTGTTGTAATCACAAATAATTAGTGCGAATGAAATATCTGTATATAAAATTAAAAATTAAAAATTAAATTAAAATACTTTATAGACCTCAATATTTAATGATGCAAAATCTACTATTACAAGCCATTGTTATGTGGAAGACAAATTATATGTACATTTAATAAAAAAATACAATTAATGAGATTTTAGTTTAATAGTAAGGAAAAAATTTTAAAATTTTTAAGTCTTAAGTTCAAATTTAATTGTGTATGAACTTAATTAATTAAATTATAATTTATTTTTAGTAATTATTTAGTGATGTATTAATAATTAATTATATAGTTTATATATAAATATAATATTTGATTATAATTTTAAAAAATAAAAAATATGTATGATTAGTTGAGAATAAATATAAATTGGTAAATATTCAATATCTTATATTTATTGATGAATATTTGAAGTTTTTTTTTTTTTTTTGCCAGTAAAGATAAACTTTCATTCATGATTGAAATATGCATCAACTGTTATAATGGTTTGGACACAAGCAGGACATTCCTCTATCCAGTAGGTAGCCTCTGTAGATTCTAACCCAGCTCTAAGCGATGAGCTGTTTCGTTAGCTTCTCTCTTGATATGATTAATGGAAACTGATTTAAAGCACTGCATCTTTGTCCTAGCTTCCTCGATAAGTGTTCCAACAATAGAGAAGTCAGGTTCTGCTCCTCTTAGTTTTGACATCACAGTAATGCTATCTCCATCTAAGGCCACCTCTGCAAACCCCATCTCTCTTGCAAAATGCACAGCCTTCACTATCGCTATAGCTTCGATTGTTAAGAGATCGTTATCCTCGGCCAGTTAGCAGTGTTAAAAAAATAGGTCCAGTTTCATATAAATGATTTTGGATCAAGTAAAGATCATAAGCTTTAATTTTTTATTTTACATAGAATCTTAGTTACTTAATAAAAAAAAAGTAGGATTGTTTTAGATATATGTGGAAAATCAAACAGAAAAAAAAAAGCTAAAAAAAGCAGAGAGAGAAAAATAAGAAGGAAAAATTAGTTAAACGGAAGTCGATCCGTGGTCCGATTGAGTTAGAACCTTATCAAGAGGTTTATGATTCAGAGTTCTACATTCTGAACGGTGAAGATCGGGTTTGAAGCTCTCTAGAAACAAATCTAGAGTGTATTTGTTGAGTCACTTATTTGGTGAGATTTCTCCAATTGTTTCTCTAGTTATTGATTAGCTCTAGTTTTAGCTAAAAAAGAACTTTGTATAACTATTATTTGATAGTGAAGATTTTTCTGGTGGCCCGTGGTTTTTTCTCTCTACATTGGAGGGTTTTTCACGTAAATCTTGGTGTGCTTTATTTTTCCTGCGTATTTGATTATTAATTGTTGTCTATTGCTTCTGTATTGTTGTGATTATTGCTTCAGGCGCAGCAAATGGTATTAGAGCGATGGTTATTTTGAGACATCGATACAGAAGCAACCCAGGATAGAAGTAAATTCTGTTTGAGATCATGGAAGTGATACAGGTTCCATGATAAAATTGACAACATCGAATTATTCAATTTGAAAGCCTATGATAGAGGATCATCTATACTGCAAAGATTTGTTTGAGCCAGTATTGGGTGATTCGACTAAACCAGCAGATATGAAAGATGAAAGCTGGAAGAAGCTAGGTAGAAAGACGCTGGCTACAATTAGAAAATGGGTTGATATCAGCGTGTTCCATCATGTAGCGCAGGAGTCAGATGCTCACATTGTTTGAAAAAAATTGGCAGCATTTGTATGAGAGAAAAATATGTATGAATAAAGTTATGCTTGTTAAAAAAATTGTAACTTTACAGTACACGGATGGACGATCTGTTACAGAGCACTTGAGTGATTTTTAAGATATATTTAATCGGATGACTACTATGGAGCTTAAGATGGATGATGAAATGAAGGCATTATTTTTTTTTGGTTCATTACCAAACAGTTCGAATACTCTAGTTATGACTGTTCTTAATTCAGCTCCTGATTATAAGGTGACATTGGAGATGGTAAAGGACAGTATGCTTAATGAAGAAGCAGGGCGAAAATATGTAGACCCTGGGAATCAAGGTCTAGTCACAGAGAACAGGGGTAGAAACATCGACAGAGGTCAGGACTCAAAAGGCCGTGGTAAGTCTAAATATAGATCCAAGTCTAGAGGTAAAGTGAAGTATTTCCATTGTGGTAAGGCGGGTCATATAAAACAAAACTGTAAAATCTTGAAGCAAGAGCGAAAAGATGAGAAAGGTAAGAGTTCAGATGATAGTAATGTTGCAGCAGTGAATTCAGATAGTGATTCAGTTACTTTAATTTGTACACATGGTGATTGCAATCATGTTAGTGATCTCGGCATTGAATGGATAGTTGACACAGGAACGGCATATCATTGTGTTCCTAAGAGAGAGTTATTTACAACTTACAAAGCAGGAGACTTTGGTTGTACCAAGATAGGAAACAAGAGTGTGTCGCAGATTGTTAGAATTGGTGATATTGTTGTACAAACTAGTACAGACTGTATGTTGACTTTGAGGGATGTCAGACACATTCCAAATATGAGAATGAACTTGCTTGCTATTAATGTCCTTGATAAGGAGGGATATGAAAGCTGATAAAAGAATGGACAACGGAAGCTTCTCAAAGGATCTATGGTAGTTGCAAGGGGAAAACTATGCTGCACAATGTATAAGACATGGATGCAATTGAACGGTAACCAGGTAAATATCGTTGAAAATGATGCTTCAGCAAACTTGTGGCATAGGAAGCTGGCACACATGAGTGAAAAAATGTTACAGGTTTTGGCAAGGCAGTCTCTCATTCCCTTGACAAAAGGTATGTCTCTCGATTCATGTGATTATTGTTTGTTTGGTAAGCATCATAGGGTTTCTTTTCGTAAAAGTTCTCAGAGAAAAGAAAATAGATTTGAATTAATTTATTCTGACGTATGTGGTCCCATTGAGGTTGAGTCATTAGGTGGTAGCAGATATTTTGTTACTTTTATTGATGATGCTTCACGTAAGACTTGGGTGTATATGTTGAAATACAGAAGTCAGGTACTGCAGTATTTTCAAAAATTTCATGCCATGGTTGAGAGGATGACAGGGTTACCCTTGAAGTGTATTCGAACTGATAATGGTGGGGAATACACATCTAAAGACTTTGAAGAGTATTGCTCAAAGCATGAGATCAGGCATGAGAAGACAGAACCTAGAACACCGCAGCATAATGGTATAGCTGAAAGAATGAATCACACCATTGTGGAAAAAGTCAGATGTATGTTGAGGATGACAAAATTACCAAAGCCATTCTAGGGTGAAGCAGTCAACACAGCTTGTTATTTACTTAACAGGTCACCATAAGTTCTTTTGGGCTTTGACATTCCAGAAAGAGTGTGGACATGAAAAGATACTTCATACTCTCACTTGAAAGTTTTTAGGTGTAAAGCATTCATGCATGTGCCGAAAGAGCAGAGATCAAAGCTTGAAAGTAAAGCTATACAGTGTGTGTTTGTAGGATATGGTGATGAGGAATTTGGCTACAGGGTATGGGATCCAGTAAAGAGAAAGACAGTCAGAAGCAGAGATGTGGTCTTTCATGAAAAAGAAACCATAACAGACTTTAAGAAAAATGAGAAGACTACACAGGTTACTATTGAGTGTGATGTTTCAACACCGACAGGGATTTCACAGGAAAGAGCCACAGATGGTGAAAATGAGCAAGAAATAGAACTTGGGGATATGAATGAGCCAGCTACAGTTGGTGATGAGCCAGATGCTATTAGTTTTGAGCAGGGGGAGCAATCTTCTCTACCTGAGAGTGTTGAGTAGGGGGAGCTACCTTCGGCATCAAGTGATGTAGAGTCTCGCCCAGGAGATCTACTAGAGAGCGCAGGCCATCTACCAGGTATCCAAGTTCAGATTTTATTTTAGTTACCAGTGAAGGGGAGCTAGAAAGCTTTCAAGATGTGCAGGCTACTCCGGATAGAGAGCACTAGTTAAAAGTAATGAAAGAAGAGATGGAGTCATTGCGAA